TCATGTTCAAATGAATTATAATTCAAGTTCCTGTTTAAACAAATCCTTTCAGTAGCTCTTCATCTTCTGAAATAGATTCTTCCTGTAGAGAACAGAAATAGTGCTGTGATTTCCAGGACAGTGCTGGGATACTTGTACCCAGAGCAAAGTTTGGACAGCTTCCCATGGTTTATCCATGAAAGCATCCAAGGTATTTTCTGGACTATCCTGCCACAATCAAAGACAGAAGCCCCACCACTCGCTGATGGGTTGAACTGTAAAAAAAGTATGTCAGCATTTTATTCAGGATGAAGCAAATGTGCTAAAAGCTTGCACTGATAAACAGGAAACATATGTTTGCCTAAAGCAAACACAATTTTTGCTCATGCAAAAGTCATGAGTATGTGCAAGGAGTCTCTGAGGTTTTTGAACAGTTTTTAATATGAGATGAAGCAGCTAGGTAATAGACTTTGGTAATGCTGAGAAGAGGAAATGAGAAGAGAGTCCATAATCTTTAAAACTATCACTCTTCAAATATCTTAGAAGAGAAGAAGTGGGAATTGGCTATAACCCGGTCTTGTGTGTTAGCATAGGTACAATTGCAAGCAATATTATTAGCATACAAATTGATATTGTGCAAAAGCAGTCTTTTGTTTGAAGGTAATGGCCACAACACTGCAAAAAAAAGAGAAGCTTATGTTCTAATGTAGCAGAGGAAGCAAATAAGCAATTTACACTGTAAAAACTTGCTGTTCCAGAAATGTGACTGGAAAAATTATCAGTTTGTAAGCAATCTTTATGTTGATTTGAGAAATTTTTGAATGCAATTGCTTTGTTCATCAGTCCAACCCTAATTTCTGTTAAGGCACTTGTTCCTCTTGAAGGGTCAGATTTTGACACACTGGCAGACATGAGAGCATAAGAGTATCAGGATCTAAATGCTGCAATTAAATTTTGTTCTTATAATTTTCATTGACAAAACATTAAGATGTATATCCCTGGCATAAGGAACATCTGCAGGTCCTCATTTCACTGATGCATAGCCAGAGAAACACCCAGCAACATGTAATATTACTCATCCTAAAGGCAGAACCTTAAGAAAACAAAGTCCTAATTCAGCAGTTGAGAGCTCTGAGTGTATCTTTGAAGCACGGAGTTAATCTTTATTAACCCACTAGGGGAGGATCTGTAGGACTTTTCAAAGGCTTGAACATTGGGCATGAGTCTGACTATCTTGCTGAGCACAACCTAAATGAGTAGCTAGGCAGTGCTTCTTGATCAAAGCCATTTTGGGGTGAGACAGATGTTTCCACAGTGAAGCAAAGCATGGCACTGTGCCTCTGCTGGAACTTTACAGTGCAAAGAGAGTGCTGCTTTGGGATGTTCATGAAGAACAGTAGTGCAAGCTCTGTTAGGCATCCAGTTAGGGGTAAAAACATAAACTCTGTGTGAAGTTTATCTGGGTAATTAAATTACTAAGGAAGCATTATGTCAGGTGGGGGGAGGATATTCTTATGAATGATTATATTAAATTTTGACAGCAAGAGGCAGACAGGTGTCTTTATTCCCCTCCAGATGATTATCTCTTGATAAATCGAATTCCCCTCAGTGGCCTTACTGCAATTTCAGAACAGGCATATTCATAACAATACTGTGCTGTTCTGTATTGGAAAAGACAGACTCCAGCAGGCTGAACAGGACCACCAGCAGAGCTGCACCAATCCCATGGATCATTTGGACTGTTAACCAGGACTTTCCCACTGCCTATTTGCCTCTGGAATATGAACTTCCAGTGTTCATTTTCAATGTATACTCTGGTGGTTAAACCTTCCTGAAAATTTAGTTAAGTTTAAGAAACTTAAATGACTATGAAGCTAAGAGTAATCACCTTCAGCGTGGGTAATCATCACCCACGCTGGTGGCCCACACTGGTCTCTCTTTAAACACAGTAGTAAATTGGGCTCCCCAGGACAACCAGGAGGTCCATGAAGCACAGTGTGCCCTGTGTAGGGTACAGATTCCAGGAGAAAGAGCCTGCCCCATTACCTGCACCTGAGGAGGCAGAACAGACTTTTCCAGCCTGACACTCAGCATCTCTCCAGAGCCCTCTGCTCCTGTTGGACACCTCACCCTGCAGCTGGGAAGATCCTGGTGAATGGAAAAATGCTGCAGGGAACGGAGACAGGAGGAGGCTTCTTGCAGGACACAGGAGTGTTCAGAGAAAGGTGCCTGCTTCCTCCAGGGCTGTGATGGAGCTTCAGAGGGGCAGCAGAGCTTCTCTGGCACAGGTATTGCTCACTCCCCATCCTGGCTGCAGGGAACTGCTCTGGGAAGTTTCCTTTCTCACTGAGCTCTGGGGCTGCTGAGTTCTCTCAGGTACAGATGCCAGCAGGTTCATTTCTCATTGCTGTGCAAAGCTTGGGGTGTGACATGCGCTGCTCTGCTGGGCATTTAATCCTGATACAAAAGACACACTGTTTTGTTTTGTTTTGTTTTGTTTTTTGTTTGTTTTTTTGTAAGAATATTGCAGACATCAGTTTTTCTCTCTCCTCACTAAACAGAGAAAAGCAAACCCCAAAACACTTCAGTGACATAGGTTAATCTGCTCTAATGTGTTATTGGCATGATGTATTAATACAGGGGTATGGACTGCTTCCTTCCATGTTTAGTTAGTATGGGCATGTAGCTCTGCACATACACAAAAAAATAAATCTGAAAAGGAATGGTTTCTATTTTAGTTTTAATTTATACTCAAAGACAAGAGGTATGGCTTCTCTGCAATAGTTATATTTCAGCTATTTGAAGCCAGCTGAGCGCCAGCTGTGTGCCCACAGCCTCTCAAGGGTGTGATTATTTAATGATAAAACTAATTTTCCTCAGTGCTCATGATTACCATTGCAAAAATTATTTTAACATAAACTGAAGTGGTGAATTTTTGAGCTGTCAGAAGGTAGGGTTGGTTACTCAGAATATTGAGCAGCCTTTTCAGCAAAGCTGTGGAAAGTCCCATAAAATAACACTAGCTGTCAAAATCTAGGCTGAAGTCTAGAGTCCCATTTATCTTAAAGAGGCAAATAGTCTGCCCAGCTGAAAAAGAAAAATTTCTACTATGCCACTAAGACCATAATTTCTAGTTGTCTTTTCTTTAAAGATAACAGCTATTCCGGGTCAAATGGACTTTATAAGAACTATATTTGGCATCCTCTGATGCCAAGAGGCTGCATGGGGAAAAAACTTTCTCTTTACTCATGTTCAGAATGAGCCAGACATGGTCCTTTGGACCACAGAACCATAGAATCCTTTGGGTCGGAAGAGATCTGTAAGCTCATGGAGTCCAACAGTGTGTGAAGATGAAGGCTGAGGCATGTGGTGGAGCCTGAACAGGACCTCAGAAAATAGAATGAAATTTTGAGGCAAACAAAAAAGCCATTGTGGGATTCCTATGAGATGTAAGGCACCCTCATTTTAAGGAAAGCATTTGCATAAATCACTAACTTTATGCGTTCCCTTATTTTCCAAGTGGATGCATTCCCACCATTGAAAGGGCTACCCAGGACCGTCCTGTCTTCAGTATTTGGAAAGGCAAAGGAATGAATGACATCTAATCTCTTATTTTTCTCCTGTCAAAATAGATGTTTTACAGTGAAAAGGAGAAAAAAAAAAGCATTTTTAACTTTGTGAGATAAATTGTTTTTAAGGTAGACCAAAAAAAAATGCTTTTAGGTGGGACCTTTCCAAAAATGGAAAACTATGTAAAACTTTCACTTTTAGTTGCATCTAGAACTTGTAGATCTTGATGCATTATTTTTTTGCATCTCCCTAAATTTCTCTTTCACTTTTCATTTCTCATTTGACACCTGATAGAGTTGTCAAATTTAAAAAGAGAAAACCTAGTTTAAAACATATTTTGGTTTACAAATAAAATATTTTTGTCCTATTAAAGTAAAACATTTGATTTTGAAGCATTTGCATTTTTCATATTAAAATACATTTTTTATTTATGCCTCTCTAAAAGTTTACTATTTGGATAAGATTATTAGTAGGTAGAAAAAACACCAAACCCTCTAATTTTTGTGTTTGTTAGCAGAATCTGCCTCAGACCAATGGTTCCAGTTGATGAAGACAACATAAGCCTAGAAAAGCCACCATTAGTCATAAGCATGGGTTTTCTCTGGAGGATTTCAACCACCCTCTGTTTGGGAGACCTTGCCAGATGGCAGCTGATAGCTGTGCAAATTTTTAAGCACAAAGTGGTACCAGCATTTGCTGTCTGATAGCTGCCCAAAAAATGCAGGACTAAAATTTCTATATTTTTAGGTGTACTGCACTGAAAGAAGCAGCCATCTTAAAATTAAAACCAAGGGATAGAGTACGGGGTATAAAGACTATATCTGAGGGTTATTATTACCATGAGTTATTATGTAAATGATTCCCCTTGCTCACAAATACACGCTTTTTTTCATCCTGATTTAAAGCATAATTGCAGTCCTTGACAGATTGCCATTGAATTTTTTCTCATAGAATGAATTAAAATATTGAAAGTAGAAAAGGATAGAATGGAACATTATGTCCTATTATACTAATCAAATGTACTAAAACTAACCCCTCCACCCCAAAACCACCTCCTGCTGCCATCCACTGCATCAAGATGGGTTATGAATGAACAAATCCACTTGGCACTTTACAAAATGAGGTCATGATAAATGCATGAAAAAAATGAAATCCAAGCCCTTTATAGCTGGCAGGATTCTCTCTTTGTAGAAATCAGTTTAAATCAGAGCAGCAAGATCGTCAAAGTGCTTACAATTCCTTACAAGAGCAAATGATAATTTTCTGTTTCCTGACTGTCCATTGCAGCTGTTGTGCAAGTTTGTTAAAAATACTTCACCTCTTCCCACAGAATGTTGCAGAGCCAATTGCAGGAATTGACTGGAAAAGGAGACCTATCATTTGTCAGGAGGGTAGGTCCAAGGAAAGCTGCAGAAGTGGATGCACTGCTTGTTATTTCAGAGGCAGGAAATCCCTCTGTTCCCGATGGCCAAAGGACAGGGCAGCAGAAGGAGGCAAAATGGAGCAGCATCCACCTCTGACTTGGAGCACCCACCCCTGACTTGGAGCACCCATGATCAGGACCTCTGTAAGACTTGCTTCCCCTTCACAGCCTTTCTTATGGGATCCCTTCTGCAGTTATATTTAACTCAGGCTGTAACAAAAGGATTCTGGCAAAGGTCCTTTACTACTGAGAAATAACCAGGGAGTGGAAGTATAACTCACCACCTTCAGAGGGGATGTTTGTATGTACTGTAGCAATTTAATTACTGTGACAGTTAGTTAATGCAATAGAGCCTTTGTGTAAATGAGCAGATCTTTTTCCTTTATATATTTACACTGAAATATTTCTCTTCATTTAGGGATGAACGAACTTGAGCAACCTTAAGCTCCTGGTGCAATGAGGTTTTTTGGGAGGTGAGTTCCAATCGAGTTCTGGGTACTGTCTTGGTTTAGTAGACATATTAAACCAACAAGTCTAAATAAATAAATAAATTGACTTTGACTTTGAATTGGTTAGAAAAGATTGCCCCCCACACATCTGGGCATGCCTCACATTTATCTTGTTTGTGATATAAACTACTCAATAACATTTGGTACATTTTGTAGACAGTGGCTTCCTGTAGCAATTCCCCTCCTGAACGCTTATGCTTTTAGCATCTCCAGGTTTCTGAAAGGTCTCCCAGGAACTCATCTCTATTTCCTTTCACTTTCCTTTACACACCAATGGAAGGACATATTTAGCACTCTGATCTTTGCATCATGCAGCATTTGCTTAGGTCAGTGGTTTCCTGTGGTGTCATGTCCTGGAGCTGCTCCTCTGTGCTAATACAGTTGAGTGCTCTGTCAACTTTCAAACTATTTGAAAATGCACTTCAGATGTGATAACTAATTTGCATAAAGAAAAGACATGTTCTAATGTACCTGAAAGGATCTTGTGAAGAATAATTTCAGATGTTTGCATATATTGAAGAGTTAAGGAAGGTGTTCTTCAGTCTTTTAATGTGCACACACATTTTCAAGACTGGTTTCTAAAAATGTGACTACTCAACACATTATACCCTCTCAACTTGCAGTCTGAGTAATTCAGGTATGATTCTATTTCAGGTAGCAATGAAAGGAGGAAAAAAATTAATAGAGGTAAAGAGTACAGAGGTTACACTCTCTTCATAGTGACGCATTTTTCACTGTGGCAAGAAGAGAAGTGCTGATCTGGTTTTTACATATTAAAATTTAACTTTGTATTTAGAATTTTCCAAGCCAATTTTGATTATGGTAAAAATTGATTTTTTTTCTCATTAGTGATTTGAAAAACTGTCATTTTTTTGCTGCTGCTTGTTATCTAAGATGATGAAATGGGTTTCAGTTGCCTTAACACAGACCGTTTTTACTAATTTAGACCTTCAAGGGGTGTTCCCACCTGCCTCCATCAAAAGGATGCAAATTCCTCCTGGGTCCCAGGTTATATCTGCTAACATTCATGGATGCCTCAGATACCTGAGGGGATCCAGAATGGCACTGGGAGTTTGTGCTGAAGCAGCTGAAACCCATTTTAGCTGCCTTTAAAATTCTAATTTGAAGCTATTTTTGCATATTTGCAAAAGCCATTGATTTTTCCTGAGTGGTTCAATATGGGCATTCACTTTATTGCTTTATATCTGGAAACTGTTACGTGTTCTTTGTAACTGACCTCATATATTAATATTTTCCCTGCTTAATAATTTGCCATTAAACATTATTGAATTCACTGTGACCCAGAAGAGACATGCAATTTTGGGGTGTTGGTTAAAGTAAGAATTATCCAATCAGGACTCAAAAACTAGACAAGATGTCATTGGTTGTTTGTTATAAATTCCTGGTTTGTCAGCTATGTAAATGTTTCTATTGATTAGTTCTTAATAACCTATCTTACAAATATATAATTTTTAAAAAGCATAAACAATAAACATGATTTAGACTAATATTCAGGTTCCACTGTGCTGGCTGTTTGGGAATAATGACATTCCTGCATGAACTACAAATATTCAGCTCTGTGCTGACTGCAGAATTAGTAAAGAATATAAAATTAAAAGTTTGCAATTGACATGTTTTTTAGCTAGCTTAAGCTAAATACTGACTTTTTGCAAGTTTTTGCATTAATGAAATTAAAGTGCCTCATCTGTACGGGAAACAAACTTGGGAAGAATTGCGAACACAGTATAATTAAAATTCTCTTTTGAGAATTTTGTGCTCAGAGAGTATGGAGAAGGGTAGCAGCATAAAAATCTTCAAACAAATTTGAACAAATGTTCAAATATTCCCCCAGCAAACATTTACAATATTTGCAGCTAGTCATCCATTTCCTACTGAATGCTGTGTTCTGGAAACCAAGCAAAAAAACAATAGTAGAGAGGCTAATTAATCATAAATGAGTCTCATACTAGAGGATTTTTATTAGCCCTAAAACACCACAGTAACAGCTCCACCCTATGTACACAATAAGAATAGTAAAGGTTTATGGATTTACTGGGCTTTTTTTACTGATTTGCTGTTTTGTGCTATAGGGAAGGCAGAGTGTGACCTTCTCAGAGGCCCCTTGACCAAATCCATAAGCTTCTGAAGAGGTGCAATTTTGGTAAACAACACTATTTTCATTTTGTTTCTTGTAAAGTGAATACCATGCAGATACTCTGTAATTTTACTAAAATACTAGTGAAACACAAAAATAGTTATTAATAGGTATAAGGGAATTATTTTGATATTTCCATGCAATGGTCTTGGGCAGTAGTTTGCCTATCCCATACAGATTGAACTGCACAGAAACACAGTCTTGGTACTTAGTGTAAGTAAGTTTAGAATTTATATTTTTTTTAAATTACACGCTGCTAATGTCTAATTATGAAATGATTTGCTTTTTTTGAAGAGATTGTAAATGAACACATGTAGCCCTACTAAGAATTCTGCACTGCCTTGCAGTTTTTCTCTCCTTGAAGAATTGTTGTGTATAAGCACCTGAAGCATCTGAACATTTGCAATCTTTATCATGGTATTTAGGTTATTTAGGAGAGCAAAATAGACATGCAGATCATCTCTCTCCTGTGAGAGGAATTTATATGACAATAATCAGGATGCAGAAGGAAGCCAGCTTGGATTTCCTGCTTGTTTGAGCATTGCTTCAAGAAATAACTCAGTTCAGGAATATTTAGTAAGTAAATGTTACACTATCTGAGCAGAATAGTTTAGTGCTGGTCCATATTTTGATTATTAGGAAGGATCAGATTGTGCTTGTGTTCTTTCCAAGGAACATTTACTGCCATTTCTCCTCTTTTGGGTGTGAAAGTAAGAGCTAAACAATTAGACTTGTGGAATAAGCCTATGAAGGATGAAAACAAGGGGATGAGTCAGGAAATTTGAACATAAAAGTTGGCTAAGGAGTTAGTTCCATGATTTAGATGCTCTTTATTTGCTCATTTCTCTGTTGATTTGTTTGTTGATTTAAACATTTTTTGGTTTTAAATTTTACAAACAGTTTTAGAAGGAAAGTCTATGGCACAGTGTCAATAGAAGGGTATTTATGGGTAAGTTAAGTTAATTTACCTGGAAAAGTACTTCCATTTATAGTACAAATTAGAAAGAATGTAGCTGAAAAAAAAATATTCCTGTTAAAAACTAATTATAAATTAGTTTCAGTGGAAAATTTATACGCTCATTTGAGAAGGATCTCTGGCTTTTGCCTTGTAGTGCTGAATGATTATTAAAATAAAAGGTATTCCTGCAGGGGAGCCAAATACACCATAAAGGCTGTACTGCACAAGCCCATAGTGTGCAACCCTTAAGCATCAACTCATATTTTCCGATTAGCACTGACTAATGTTCCTCTGTGTGTGGTAAAAATGTAGTCAGCCATTTATTCCTCCTGGAAGCATATGAGCAGAAGCCACCACTAAAGTTATGTGTGTGTATACATAAAAAAAGATATTTTTATGTATATAAATTGTAGTTCTTTGCTATGACTGAATATATATAATGCTATTTTTTTATCGAAGACCCCCCACCCCTGAACTGATTAGGATTCACTACAGTATAGAGTGAGGTTTAGCCTATGCAAAATGGTTGCCTGATGAGTAACAAAGAAAAGTTATGAAGAAATAACTGAAAAAATAAACTTAGTAAACTGTCCATAGCTTGTCATGCATAGCTTGGATCATAAAAGATTTAACCAAAGGCTGGAGCAGACTTGCTCCAGCTCCTGAAGCGTGTGAGTCCCAGCTAAAGTCTGTCACACAATATCTGGGCTGAGTGTCCAAGTATATGAGTATGGAAGCACTGTCAACTTTCTCAAACCTTACCTGAGCTTCTGGAAGTCAAACAAAATTTTTGATAGCATTTTACATTATGTAAGATAATTTAAACAATATTTTGCATAATTGACCCTTGACACATTTCTGTCTTTTGTTTCCTGGATGACCTTGGTGATGATCCCTAGATGCTCTTTGCTTTCCAATGCTATGATGAAAATGGTAACGTGTGGCAGACAAAGTATGAAAGAGTGATCCCTCTGGAGGCTGTAGTGTTTTAAAATCGTTGGAATAATAAAACCCATTTCTGACCATCAGCTTTTAAAGGTGGAATAACTGATTATGTAATTTTAACAAAATGCTTTTTACAAGGCTCAAAAGGTCATGGAAAGCAAATGCAAGAACAGAAGGAAGGAAGCAGATTGAGGACTTCCTCCAGGTTGGACAGGAATTAGGGCTGGGGATCTTTTTAGCAATGACTGACTCATAAGCATTAAGCATAAGAAGTAGATATTACATAATATGTCTGCATTATATACTGCTTTGCCTGAAATGATATTCCTCACAGAAGGTGTTATATTTATTACCACTTTTAATGGGAAATGTCAGAAGGGTTTGTAAAGCTCATTTCCCCAGAATTTTAGACCTAGCTCTTCCTTTGTTGCAGGCTATTGTATTTCTTTTATTCAATCCCAAGGATGTTTCTTTTTGCTCCCCATGATTTGCTCATATTGGAAGATGCTAGAGCTTAGTGTCCTAGATGCCTTCCTTAGATTAGCCTCACAAAATAATACATAGCTTGATTTAAACAAGAACAGATCAATTTCAGACATTGAAGGGGTAGTGCACCTTCTCCGGCGGCCACTTCAAGTGTTCCTGAGCATCCCACTGTGCCTTGATTTCCTCAGCCATAAAATAAAGATAAAAATAACAGCTTTTGGCTTAATTTTTTACACCAAAAATCTCCAAAGTCTTTTGTGGAAGAATGAGATGTATATACCTAAAGTTCATTACTATATCCACCACATGCATGTGATGCTTGATATCTCCCTCCCCTCCACTCCCCTCCCCATTCCCCTGTATTCCATCCTTAGATTTTGTCTGTGCCACTCTGTTTGACCTCTTTTCTAGTTCCTGTATACATCTCACCCATCATCTGCTCTTCCTAGGGTCTGAGCTGCTACACTTTTCTCATGATGAATCTCTATCTATATTACCTGAAAACATGCTTAGTTGCAACAAAATTCTTTTTTCTTTGCTTCTAGTGTTTGTAGAATATCTTGGATTAGAATCCTCAGCAGAGCTAATTAATGCAGCCTATAATGGTGCATTTATAAATGCAAGTGATCTGAAAAATGTTGAATAAGTGGTTACCATTGTGTACTGCAAAGTTCATGAAGTTAAACCTATGCAGGACGTTGGAGCATCTCAGGTCATTGATTTAAACCAGAACAAATTCATTTGGGAAGTAGCAAAACTCTCTTGAGTTGGATACTGTGTTGACCCCGGTTTTTCTTTAATTTTTTTTTCATATGGTGATTGTTGACCCTCTGAACAGTAAAGGCTGGAGCCTCTTCAGGACAGTAAGACATTCCTTCTTGTCTTTCACATTAGGGTGCTGTCTGTAAACGTGACAAGACTGATCAGTCAGCCATTAGTATTGACAATAGAACAGTTAAGGAATAAACAAGAGGGAAGAAAAGGATAGATGGTAATACAAGATAATCTCTAACAGGTTGACTAAAATGAGATGTGCCTTTTCTAGCCTTGATGGTCTTCAAATGTCTCTGTGTCAGCTCTGAAGTCAATTGTCCTAGAAGAGGGAGCAGACTCTGGTGGCAGTGGGATTTTGCTGCTGCACACTCACCAGGACAGCTCATTGTCTGCTGACAGCTTGTTCCACATGTGGTTCATAAATGAACCCTCAAAGGCTCGATGTTTGGAAATCCAGTTGAAAATTAATGTTTCATCCAAAACCCTAAACCAAATGGTACTTGGCCAGTACTGCTATTTGGAGCATTTCAGTGTGTAAATAGCTGGCCAGCCTCTTTTGCTGAGGGTCCTCTTCTGATTCAACAAGCTATAATCCTCTTTTTAATGTTTGGACAAATCATTCACCAAAGTCATGGCAGGAGGCTGTGATTAAATGTGCAGTTCTACACAACTCCTAGAATTCCTAAAATACCTAGCTAAAGCCAGGGTCTGATACACACCAGAAGCTGTGGGAAACAAAAAATGTATTTTCTAGTCTCAGTGACAGAAACTAAATTAGAGCTCAGAAGCCAAACACCTTTGCTGGAAATAGTCTACCTGCTGATGCCAGTAATTGCAGCTAGTCTGCTAAAATGAGCCAAAATGATCATTGTCATTGGCAGTGTGCTCTGAGAAGGAGCTCTTGCAAGCACAGGGCTCGATACCGAGGTAGCAGGAGCTGATATCACAAGATAACATGCACAATTTCTCTGGAGGCTTCAAGCACATATCAGACACCTGGCATGGCCTCCCCATGCTGCATCTGCAGGAAGGCATTTCCTTGCTTTCTTTCTGTGATGGAATATTTCTTTATGGGTTTTGGCCATACTCTACATTATTTGGCTGTACAGCAGTTTGGACACCAGTGTTTTTCTCTAAAACATGGTTCTTTGCCAGATCTCTCACTTTAATTGTACACAATTTGTTTTAGTACAGAAAAACAGAGGGTTGAGCTGCTTTGAGCTGGAAATGTTGATAAAAATCTGGAAGAGTCTTTTACCTCATTACAAAGGTCTTTGGAGACATTTTATTCTTATCTTCAGTTTAACAGTTCAGACTTTCGATAGTATGTGCACTTAAGAATGAATACCTTTGGAATAATATAGAAAGTGATGAGATTTTTTGAGACAATGAATTAATTCTATCTCTGTAATAATTTCAGTTTGCTCAAAGAAAAAAGGCTAATATAGGCAAACTTGGATTTTTCCAGCAGTGTGTCTCTCTGCAGCATGCCAGGAGGAAAAGAAAAGCCCACGCACAATGCACCAGATGTGCACAACTGTGTGTACAGAGAATAAATCTTCAAGACAGGCTGCTGCAATGTATTTTTCTTCATCCCTTACAATGTGCTTGAGATGAGTGCCTTCTAGGCAGGACTCTGGGAAGGATGAATATGTACTATCCTCAGTCTGAAATGCTCTGTGGCTGTGCTCACCCTCTATGAGCTCCTCAGCTGTGCCCATGCTCAGTCCTGAGGTGATGCTGCTGCCTCTCTGCAAGGCACTCTACTGGCTGCTTCCTCCAGAGGACATCCTCTGCTATTCATGGGACTTCTAAACAATGTAATTTGCTCCTACATAGCTGCT